GCTGCTGGACGTATAAATAGATCCTGATAGCATTCCAGTAACCAAAGTTGGCGATCCTAGAGGTACCAGACCGCGAAAATACGATTTTGGAGGCGTTTCTTCTCTGATTTCAACGATTTCTGAAGATCTGAAGACTGTGGATCATCTCCTTCAAGAAGATTAGTAAGATTAGTTGTTTGATGTCTCTTTTCATCTGTTTTCATCAGATTTTTGCCATGTATGGCTAAACCCTAGTTTTCAGTTCTGCAAAGACAAGTACTTTTCATATGATTGATCATTAGATCTGGTTTTTGATTTGTGTTTCTATCTAGATTCTTTAGTTTTGTTCTTAATAAATGTTTGATTTGAATTCTTGTTAGTCTGATCACCTAATTAGGGTTTTATCATTCAAGTTAATCAGTTATAGAATACATAATTGTTCTTATCAACTGGTAATAAGTAACAAGTAATAAATCGGTTCCGTGTTTGGGATTTGACTTTATTATAAACTGTAAAAATCATATCTTTAGGATTCCGAGCTTGTGAGAAGTATTGGTTATTGCTGGGAATTTTACAAAGAACTTAATGCAATTTTTCTGATTTAATTAAGAGCTTGTTTAATTGAACAGTAAAAAGTTAGGGTTAATTGAAGAGCTTGTTTTGATTAACTAGTTTAGGTGAAAGAGAAATTACCAGAGCTTGTTAGTTTTTCTCAGTACCAGCTTAGATAGAACGCAAATTAAATAATCAGATCTGGGTTAGTTGCATGATTAGGAAAGTCACAACAGAGCTGAAACCGTTTTTATTATTGATTTTTGTTTACTTTATTATCACTTTTTAGTTTTTTTAGTTTATAATTAAAACCCCCCTTTTTATATTCTGTTTGTTGACTAGATGTGTCTGATGCAAAAAGACATTGACTTTTAGGCTGTGTCCCTGAGGATTCGACCCTGCTTCCCTGTGCTATCTTTTTAGTGCATTCCAAGCAGTGATAAATTTATTTGTTTAATACGTGCGCGACAGTGTGTTAACAGTGTGTGTATAATGTTTTGAGGAAATTAGGGTCGTGTAGTAGAATATCGAAGGTGGGGGACCAAAGGCATCAACTTCACAAGCAAATGTGGCAAAAACTTAAGGTGTCATATTTGGTAAATGTCAGGGACCAAAAGTGCAAACTGTTGAAACCTTTGTGGCTAACAGTAGAAAATATCAAATGTGGGGTACCAAAAGAGCCAACTCCACAAACTAATATGGTAAAAAAAGCTAAGGAGGAACAAAAAGCGACAAAGTGTTTCAACTTTTGTAGCAAAACTTTAAACAATTTGAAAATGGACCAAAAATGACAAAGTGTTTAAAATTTTGTGGCAAAAGCCTGATGAATATAAACTATATTATTCATAATTGTGTTATGAATTAATATAGTATATTAATATTAATGTTTTAGTCTTGTTTTCAAGGGTTCAAGGAAATTGTTTTGGTTTTCTCTTCATGTACATTTGCTAGGTGTGCATTGGCTTTTTCTTTTTAATATATATCCTTTTACCGTTTAAAAGAAATCAAAGAGGGTCTTAGGATGACTTTTGTCCTACCTATAAATGGAGCTATTACGAAAAATTGTCCCCACCAAAGTTTTTGTAAATTTTATATTGAAATTTTGACGTTTTAGCGAGAGCTTTTCTTCGACTTATGAGTATGCAGGAAATATTAGCCCTATTTTTTGTAACGGAATTTTAGAAAACCTATAACGAATTCGCTAAAAGATATTTATCTGATTTTTTTTAGAACTAATTTGCATATATTTTTTAATTTAATTTTTTATAATTAATATAAATAAATTTTGTTAATAAAAGTAACTACGAAGAATGTCATACTTTGTTACTTTAGGCAAAACCGTGTCCTAAATTAATACCATCGGTGGTTGTTGATTTGACATGTTTACCGCCGATAAACACGGCACCTCAAAATCTTTTTTTATTGGTGGTAAAGTTCATCTGTGAACTTACAGCGATTTCTCTCTTTTAGCTTTTTTTTTGAACCGATAAATATTTATTATAATAAAGATCACCTGGTGAAGCAGCAATAACCTCGACACATGACGTACCCTTAAAGATTAATTGCTTTATGTGGAGAGCCTACATTGATCGAATCCATATTCTTCAATGCCCAATGGCAGCCAAAGTCTGGGAATGGGTACTTCAATGGTGTGGCATACCTGGTTACCAATTTTACAACATGGATGATCCGGTGAAATTCAAGGCCCAATGGGGTCGTGTCCAAAGAAAAAGAGATGCTTAATCAACATTTGTTATAGAACCATATGGAACATTTGGAAGGCTAGATGCGACTGGATTTTAAAGAAGATTAGGCCCTCGCTAACCAAAGTCGCCGAGCTGGGAAAAATTAATGTATTCCTGTGGACTAGGTATAGGAAGAATAAGTGCTCAATTCCGTGGGTAAAATGGTGTGTTAACCCCATATGTTGTTTGTAATTCTCTCTTCTGGCTTACCGCTGAAAATAATCTCCTCAACCTTATTTTCTGCCGCACCCGAACACCTTTTAAAAATAGGAAAAATACAAAAGTGTCTCTATCATGTGATACACATGTGTCGATCGGTAGAAAACCCCACAGCCTTATAGTGAAGCAGCGGAGCCAAACGATTAACTTTCCATATACCTTATCACATTGACTTCTCATTAATAAAAAACTGAATCAATTTATCAATTTATTTTACTTTATTGTTTATCTACACGAGTTACATATGTATATTTTTAAATTCAGACTAATAAATAATCAAGAACGAATAAATGGAGCTAATTAAAACAGGGTAATTAAGAGTACGATGCATAACTTCATTAATCGATTAAAGTGAACCCCACCTCCCCAGGGCGACACTGCGATCAACGCCTCTCCTCCTCCTCTTCTTCTTCTTCTTCTTCTTCTTCTTCTTCTTCTTCTTCTTCTTCTTCCCTGCGACCAACTATTTGTGTAAAAATTTAGAACTGCTACACAAGGAATCTTATTTGAGATTGATGCATGCTTTGAGGAGCTGAAAGCATATCACGTACCATCATCACAGATTTACAATCTCCCTGCCCTTTGCTTCTTGCGGTATTGCATATTTGGTGACTTTTTTTGTAACGTTTTTTTCTAGCAACTAACTGTTTCATTTTTTGTTGATTTAAGTTAGGTCACCGTAGTTAACATTATTCTGTCTCAGCTAAATCAATTATTTGTAGCAAGGAAGGATTCAAAGTTACAAATAATTTATTCTCTTCCTTATTCATCATTTAGCTCTTACCGGGGTTTGAGCGGTCAATGCACCAGAAAAGGTTCGATCGGATTTTATCGAACCACTGACCAAAGTTTGATTTTGAGGGCACACCAGAAGTCAACAGGTGCATCATAATTAGTGTTTGCATATGTTTTGAGCGTAATTAAGGTTAATTTATCCTTGCACATTCCCATTTAAATGTTCTCATTTGTTAAGTGTTGTAAACTTTAATGTATGTGTTAACCATATGAAGATATAGGTGTGGCTTTTAGACATTTTTATCTACGCTTGGTGTCTGAGCCTGTTCGAATCCCTTTAGCTTTTTGGAATCTTGAAACATAAATTCTCAACAAATTAAAAAGAGTATTTGAGGCATCAAACATAAGGTATGCCAATAAAAATTAGAAGTTTTTTTTTTGATCTTAACACCATGGTCAACTGTAATGATTGAATAGGGATATGATGTTGTGGTGTGTGATTTTTAACAATTGCTTCTTGAATAGAAAACATTTGCTTGATCTTGCAATGACTGAACAAAATTTATTAGGTTTACGGAAGCAATATACAAACATAAGGTATGCCAATATAAAAATCAGAAGTTTGTTTTTTTTCAGATAGTTAATGTATTTGATTTTGAAGATTTTGTTAAAAATTTTATTTTTGAAATGGTCATCAGCCATCTGAATCCATGTGATCATGAGCATCCCATCAGTAACTGAAATTATAGGCAACTTCTTTATATGAAATATGCTTTTAAATCGTTTAGGTTCAATCTCTGTTCAAGTGGTAAATATCGGTTCAAGTAGAGATGTTGCAGTTCTCGACTGCTACATGTTTGGTACAAACTTCGTATTGATTTTTATTTGTCACTTTTTTGACTTTTGCTGCATAGTTATGCAGAGGATTTTGTACCACAGTGGAGAGAGATCATTAGCTGAAACTCCTTTGAAACATCAAGAAAGTGGTTCGTAGACTATCTAGCACAAAGTTTCTTTTATTTTTACTCACTCGTAGGATATTGCGATTTTATTTTGTAGGCAAAAAAAATATATGAATGCTATACTTTTGAAAGATTTTTTAATTAGACTTTGGATATGGATGATTGTTATATTAATTACTACGTTGTGAACACAACGCTATTTGTAGGCATTATATACAAAAGATCCATTCAAGCTATATCAAAAAGATAAATGACGAAAAAGTTCCAATGAAACCTTGTCAATGACATTAACTATCGCATGTCACCACTAAAGGTAATTACAGTAAATCTTGATACCCTAAGCGGCGACATTAAATCTTGTAGTGAAAGCAATATGTTTTTTAAATTTTAAAACTTAAACCATACACCCAAATAAAAAAATATAATGAAATTTATTAAGAAGTCTTGAAATGAAGAACATATAACAGTTCGATTTAGCAAGGTAAATGAATTTATTTATGGGTTAATGAATTGAAAAGGAAACAGACCTTTAATTTTGTTCACATTTAATCACTAAACTTTCAATTGTTTGATTTACCCCTGAATTATTTAAAATTGTTCATATTTTATCTTTATAAAATGACATTTAATAAAATAGGAAAACCGATAAAATAACATGTAATTAGTAGATATATAAAAACAACGACTATATAAATGGCCTAGGAAAGAGTGAAAGACTAATCAATAAAAAAAAGTCAAACTATTTTAAATTAGATACCTTTTTTCAGCCGAGATCTAGATGGGAAAGAGTGAAAGACCAATCAAAATGCATCCAAAACATTATTATTGATACCAAAAGAAATTACAATGATTTCGAATCTAACGAGTACGTACGAGACGTTTGGATTATGCTGCCGTGGGTTTGCTAATTAACTTATTGATATTATCGATCATATCATCAAAATCAGAGTTAATTAAGAACTAACAATGGAGACAGGTTTTCCGTGAGCAAGTAATGGAACCATTCTGTGATTAGCCAGACCAAAAGTTTCATCCATGTTGACGTCCTTTGGCATTACACCCTGAGGTAGCGACCAATCAAATTTCGATAGAACAGTAGCCAGAACCTTCTCATTGATGGCCATGGCAAATACCCTTCCAGGGCAACTCCTTCGTCCAGCACCAAACGTGAGTAACTCGAAATTGTGCCTTACGAAATCAATAGACGACTCCAAGAACCTTTCTGGAAGAAACGTTTCAGCATTCTCCCATACTTTAGGATCCCTCATAATTGCATAAACACTCACGTATACTCTCGTCCCTTCGGCGATATCATACCCCATAACGTTCACATCATGTCGTGCGACTCGAGGTGGTAGAATGGGAAGGGGAGGATGGAGGCGGGTGGTTTCCATTATCACAGCTTTAAGATACCTCATCTGGTCAAGATCTTCATCGCTTATATCTTTCTTTCCTTTAAGGACCCTCCTTACCTCATCCTGGACTTTCTTCAGGTTATCCGGATGTAACAGAAGCTCGGTCATTGCCCATTCGAGTACTGAAGATGATGTATCTGTACCAGCGACGTATGCATCCTACGTAAAAAACATTCATGCAAACGATTATCCATTATTATCTTATATGAATGATGAAAGATGGAGAGAGGGAGAAAGTTGCATGTACCAAGAGGAGTGCTTTAATGACATCTGAATCGATGGTGATGCCATTAATATCTTCCTTCTGAACCTTGAGCAGTCCTTCAATGAAGGTTTCCACGCCATCTTCACCAATTCGATCAGGGTTATTGCTTACCTTGGTTATGGTCTCATCCACCACGCCTTGCAGGAATTCATCGAAATCTGCTGCGACTCTATCTACTTTAGCAGTGAGACCTCTAAGACGATCAACTACAGCAAGCTGAAGAATAGAGTCCTCAAAATAAAAGCTACCCAACACCTCCGAGAACTCTTGCAAGATCTTCTTGAATTTCTTGCCAATCTCCCCTTCATTATACGTTCTCCCAAACGTCACCATACAAGTAATATCGTTTGTAAGTGAGCTAAATAAGTCGCTCAAGTCGGCAGGATTGTTAGACAAGAAACACTGGGTTATCTTATCTACACAATCGGCAATTACCTTCTCCCTCAACCGATTAAAAGATTGGACCTTTTTGTTACTTAGAAGCTGGAGAGTCAGAATGCTCTTTGCTTGCCTCCAGTATTCACCATAAGGAGCCGCTGTGATTTCCTTGAGATTGTAGGAGATCGTCCTGAACATCCTTGTGTTGGGCCTGCTGGCAAATGCTATATCATGTGTTTTCATGATTTCATGAGCTGCTTCAGTTGACGAGACCACCAGGCTTGGGACTGAGCCGATGTAGAGGAGCATGAGTGAGTCACCATAACGTCTGGACAGAGATAAAAAGGAGTGGTGGACGAGTGCACCAAGCTGGTAGAGGTTGCCGATAACCGGCAACTTTGGTGGTGATGGTGGTAGTTTCTTGGAGCATGCGGATGGAGAATTGTACCATCTGAACAGTAGAAATGCCGCACCAAAAAACAACGGGGATGTGTAGATCGGCAGCTGCTCTAAGAAACTCGACATCCTATCTAAATAATTTGGATATATGCCGCGGAATGAATTCAGTTGTATCACGGCGACTTGTTTTATAGAAGAAGTCCTGGAAGGGCATTGAATTGGGTCAGTTGAGTTCTTAACCCTGTGTACTCTAGCTGTTAAAAAAAAAATTAAAAAATATAAGTGTCTCCAAGAGGCCAATTTGGTACCATCCACATCGAGAAAGTTGGAGAAATGACTTTTAAGCTTTCCAATTTGGACAAATATTAATTGCATGCACATGTTTGCTGGTCTATATGTAATATCTACAAACTCAAGTATATAATAGTTGTGAGTTTCGAGATTTTCTTGTCCAAATTTTCATCTATTTATTCTATTTATGAAATAATTCAAGAATTTCATCCAACAATAGTTAATTAGTGATCACAATACAATAAGGCAAGCAGACAACAAGTTGCGGCCGTTAATGTTTTTGTATGATAAAAATAATTCTTTTGAATACTACTTTTATAGATCTACGGACATAACAGTATTATACAGGATGTGTTGTATTATGTTAAGAAGTTTCATCACATCCGATGTCAGAACCTGTTTATATAAAATACAAAATCAATTCCAACGAAACCAAGAGAACGCTAAGCAATATATACGTAGTAATGTGAGTAACTATACAAAACCCCGTAATAATGTTATTATATATCATATATACCCTGCGAGTAACAAAACCTCAAAATAATGTTATTATATATCATATATAACTTGTTTGGTGTGAAACCTATGTACTATACGAGTTGATTAAAAATAAAGGTAAATATCAAGATGTAAACATTAAATATTTTTTAAAGTAATTTTTTTTAATTAAATACAAATAAAATGATGAATAAATAACTAATTCAATCTATAATAATAAAAAACTATGGACGTATTTTAAATAAGTGTGTTGAATATCAATGTGTAAATATTAAATATTTTTTCAAATAAACTTTAAAAATAAATACAAATGAAATGATGATAAGTATATAATCGACTCTATACTAATAAAAAAATTATTGACATATTATAAATAATTGTTATGATTAGAAAATTTCCAAAGACTTTTTTAAGTACAACATTAGATGTCAAATTGTTAAGTTTATTGTCATTGTCTAAAATTTTAACTTTAGACAATGCAACATGAAACCGTCCATTAGTAACACTAGTTGTCTAAAAAACAATCTCACATTCGATAACGATTGTCATTCAATCTTGTTTATTGTTATCGAATAACATAAAGACATTGAAAATTGTCTTCTTTGAAATGTGAAATAGATCATTTTATTCGAAGGCGTCAAAGACATTCTTGGAATAAACGTACGACTTCCTATATTACTTCCGGAAATTATCATTGCTTCAATAACACACTTGCCGAATGTTATAAGTCGTAGCCTCGTTCCATTACACAAACCACATTTCTGATCAATATTCCTTACTAACATAACTGGAATACCAACTTTTAGTATTAATTTATGAATAGGCAAACCTGGTAAAGTCAATCCTTGCTCATCGTGTCTGTAGCTCCTTGCTTGTCGGACAATCCTATAAGGATTAAATGCAAAAGGATGGTTCAAAGACATGGAACCGCCAACTTCTTGAACTCCTTGGATTTGAATTCGCCATTATGACCAATGTGAGTCAAGAACAGTTGAAACTCTTTTAGTGTGGGTTCCTTTGAAAACCTTGAGGGTTTTCTGCAACTCCAATTCCTAGGAGAATCTCTTTGTGCACGGGCACAATCCTCTCATCTGTGATTTTCACTTCCAGAACACCATCTTCAAATTTTATGCGTTCAAAGGCTTTGTGCAAAAGCCTAAGAGGGAAATTAGGGTTAGGAATTTTGGTAAGAGTAACGACGATGGGATGACGGAATATGAACTCGATCATGATTCTGACAGACTCATCGTAGTCCATTAGATCGAGGGAAAAGAGTTGGGTTGTTTCCCTGAGGATGAGTTCGGTTGAGGAAGATGAAGTGGAACCTTTGTATGATTTCTTCTTGGTTGCAGGTTTTGAAGTTTTCAACGCCATTGTTGCAGGTATGAAAAGCTTGAAGAACAGAGAGTATAGGGGAAAGGTTCTAAGGAAAATGAAAGCCAAAACTGTGAAAAGTTGGAACAGTTAGGATTCAAAATCCTTTTATATGTGAGTTGTTCCGGGTCGGGTCGAAGATTGGAATGATGACACCCGAAATTCATAAACGGGTTGCATTAAATGCATAGACTCAAAAGCCTTCCGATGTGAAAGTTAAGAGCCCAAAGATGGGAAGTTTGTTTGTTCAAAAAGGGAAACTGCCGATTTAGTTCAGAATCACTCAACACTTTATTGGAATGTGTGCCAAAATCATGTTTATTGTGAATTAAGAGGATAATCATAAAAGAAATTACCGTTAAAATGATCATGAGAAAACGTTTCAGAATTATCACTTAAATGATAACCTTAAAATTCATTTATTGTTGAGAGTCTTGGAATAATTAGGTTCTGAAATGGAATGTCATAAGATACTTTGAAAAGAATTGAAACACATCATTAGTACATGATATAGATTTGGAGAAGGCACAATCTCTAAATTAATATCAGAGGCAAAATGAATGAAGATCTTAGAGGTCGAGCTTTTAAAAAAGTCATGATAATTGCAAGAGCTGAAGGAGCAGTGCTCGGAAAGAGATAAGTGAAGAGATCACATTACCATCTCGGATTTGAATCCCGAGGTGAATTTATCAGTAATATTTCGAAGGCAAAATACTCCGAGGTGGAATTGTCTCAGGGTATCCGATGTGACTATATCAGACAAAACTTGAAGTTAGGTAGCAATCTGAAAGACTTAAGACTAGAAGAAGAGGTTATACAAAAAGACATATAATGATCCTTTATTTTCTGAGAAGAAATAATTCTGTGGTAAAAGTTTTGGTTTGTAATTGTTTGACTTTCCGATGTTTCCATTAGAGAGTACAAATTTCTTCGAATAATTGAGGATCAGGCATCATCATTCTCATTTGGTTCAGAAAATCATTGAATTTGGTTTCGTTTAATGCCTTAGTAAAGACAACATCAATTTTATCGTCAGATGGAACAAAAATGAGTTCAATGTTACCTTTTAAAACATGATATTTAATGAAATGGTACTGAATATCAATGTGTTTGGTCATTGAGTGGTGAATTAGATTGTGAGAGATCACAATTGGAATTTTAGAATTACAATAGTTTCGGATCTGTTGAAATCGATAACTATATTCCAAACGGTGAGATTTCATCCATAGAACCTGTGAGGTGCAACTTGCAGCAACAATATATCCTGCTTCGGCTGTTGAAAGAACAATGCCGTTTTGTTTCTTGGATGATCAGGTAACAAATATTCCACCCAAAAATTGACAACCACCAGATGTGCTTTTTCTATCAACTTGAAATCCTCCATAGTTTGAGACAGAATAGGCTTGAAGAAGGAAACTTTCATTGCAAGATACCAAATTCTGAGGTTCTTAGTTCCTTTGAGATATCAGAAGATTTGCTTGACAGCCAAAAGATGTGACATCTTCGGATTAATTTTTGATATAGCACACATAAATGTTGAGAACATGATATAGAGACGACTTGTAGTGAGGTAGAGTAGTGATCCAATCATTCCCCTATACTTCTTCTGATCAATAGCAACATTAGATGGGTCCGAGAAGATCTTGTGTCCGAAACCTATTGGAACCTTAGCAGAGGCACAAGTGTCCATTGAATATTTTTTCAGAAGTTCGTAAATGTATTTCTCATGATGAATGAAGATTCCTCTGTTGGTCTATTTAACTTGCAGTCAAAGGAAGAAGGTTAATTCTTGATTCATACTTATCTGGAATCGACTAACCATCAGCCTGGTAAAATCAGCAACTATCGTCGGATCAGTTGATCCAAAAATGATGTCATCGACATATATTTGGACTAACATAAGATAATTTCCATTTGATCTTTGGAATAATGTAGGATCAAGAAATCCTATTTGAAATCCAGAACGCTTCAAAAAATTAGTGAGTGTCTCGAACCAGGCGCGAGGAGCTTGCTTGAAGCCATAAACAGCTTTTTGGAGTTTCTAGTAGTAGCTCAGACACGAGAGATTCACAAACCCAGGAGGTTGTTGAAGATATACTTCACTATCAAGTTCACCATTGACAAAATCACTCTTGATGTCCATTTGGTAAAATTTAAAGCCTTTTTGAGAAACATAAGCGAGAAAGATTCGGATAGCATCATGACGGACAACAGGAGCAAAGGTCTTGTCGTAGTAATGTCCTTCGATTTGAGTAAACCCTTTGGCTACCAATATTGCTTTGTTTAAGATTATGACTCCAAAGTCATCGAGTTTGTTTGAAAAGACCCATCTTGTACCAAAAATAGGGTGATCATGAGGAGGAGGGACAAGAGTCCACACTTGTTTTCTATCAAATTCTGCTAACTCTTCTCTCATGGTTGTAATTCAATCTGAATGTTCTAAGGGTTCGTTGATGGATTTAGGTTCAACCATTGATATGGATTTCGAGAAGTAACACTCATTTTGAATGTTAGCTACACAGTGAGTTTAAACTCCAGCGTTAATATTTCTAATAACTTGATTTAGAGGATGATCCTTTGTCCAGATATGTAATCTCGGAACTTCTTGTGCAGCGGATGATCCGACATCAACAATGGGGTTGAGTTTCTCCCCTAAACAATTTGAAATTGAGGATGATGCTCCCCCTAAACTTCTGAATCGGATATGTCAGCATCATCATCTTTCGAAAAGTCAAATAAGTTGATATTATCTTCATTGTTGTTTGGAATTGGATCGATTTCAGCGAAATGATATGCTGCATCTTGAAATCCATTGACATTTGATTCGTGGTTTGGATTACTATTCTCCACCTCAACCCGAGAAGGTTGAAATGTATCAAAATAAAATGGAGGAAAGGTTGGGGTTGGACCAAAAATATTTTGAGAAACAGGTGGGCAGTTTAGGACGGTCTTGATCTAGATTCCGAATCAAGAGTAGTTTTTATTTGTCCGAACAGGCTTTCAAAATCAAC